TGAAGGGGTAAAAAAAAAAAAAAAGAGGAAAAAAAAATTCTGACAGAATACGAATTTATCACTCTATAACATAACACAACATGGAGGTCCATCTCCTCAACACCATTGATCACGACCTGCTACTCTGGTGGTTGAGTTGGTATAAGTGCTTATGCCCAACATGAACCGGCCAAAATTTTTTATGATAATGCAGGTCCATGCATGACAAATCTAACTGTACACTGAAAAATTTTAAATTAAATTCTAAATAAAAAGTCGGAGACCAAGACAACCATATGTAAGCACATTAGAGATACTTTTTAGAAAGCCTCACCTCTAATGTGCTTACATATTTATCCAACAATGGCATGGTCTATCTCTCTTTTGTACACGTGTTCTACCTAATAATCTCTCCTTTTCATAAGACTTTACATGCGTCATCATGCATCTGGCATAATTGTACGAGAATAATAACTGATTCCCTAATTGATTGAACTACCTGTTTGCACCAATCCAAGTAGTGAAATCATTCTCCAACCATTCATCTCTGATTTTCCCAAAAAGATTTATTAGAGCATCCCTATTTTCTTCACCCCATTCTTTCATGATAATGGGCTTCAGCGCAAGCCAGTTCTCCAATATACCCTCAACTGTGAGCCCCTCCGCAACCTTGCAGAAGAGCTATATCAGTCAACTGGTCTAGTGCCCACACCAGCGATTTGAATACATATGTAGATTCAAGGCTACAGTACTCATGAAGAGTAATAAAGTTCTAAATCGCTTATACATGATAAGAATGGGTCAAAGGAATTATACCCACCGAAGACTTCCTGATGGAAGGTGTTCTTGTCTCAAGCAACAGCCTCACAAGCAAAACGTTTTCATATCCAGTTTCCACCACTGGTCGCACCTAACATTCAGAATTATTGTTTATTTAACGATCTCATGCAGAGGGAGAAAAGAGTAGCCAATCATTCTGTATGGGATTTTTCTTGAAATTGGAAGCACCTAAAATAATCATCATGACTCTCCACACCTAAAATAATCATCAAAACAAACCATGATAGGATTGCAATCCAGCAGAGCAAGCTTTAATGCCCCCAAGCTTTTTCATTTAAAATGGACCAATTCTGAATTCAAGCTCAGCGTTTAATCTAGCCAAAAGTTTTGGTCAACCTCCATTTAATTATTTTAATTATTAAATGAACTGATTCTGAGCTGTACGCGTGCTCAATGAGCTCAGAGCCAAATTTTCAATATCGACTCGTTTGCTAGAAGAGTTTGGATAATTAAGCGAGAGGGGGGGAAAAAAAGGAGAAGAATCTAAAAGAGCTTGACAGGCTACTCAAGCTCATTCATTCATTCATAAGTGGGCCGAGATTAAGAAGACAGCTTCAAGTAGTTCACAGAAAGCTTGATTCATTTACATCTCGAATTACATTACTAAGCAATAAGTGCTATAACGTATTTAACAAGGAAACCAGCGAAAGGAAATTCCCCCATCAAATTCTACTTTACATTCATGTTCAATCTTTAAATTCCAGAGTGTCTATGGCCTTTTTTTTTTCCTTTTGTCCGTTTAAACAAGACATCGTTCAGAAGCTGGAGATCGATTCAACAAAATAAATCCTCAAAAACATAAAGCATTAATTCATTATCTAAACTTCCAGCAAATTAAAGTCAGTTTCTGGTTTCCTTCCAATTATGCCTCCACTCGTCAGAGATTTTCAGCCAAATTACAGAATCAACAACAAAGTTAATCTAGGTAAAGCAGCATGAATCCTAGCATGAACCAAATTTAAACCATCCATAAATACTAACCGCATACATCTGGTCGATAATCCAATCTTCTGTGGCTGAATCCACGCCGTCAAATAAACCAGGCCATCTCACCTTAGCAGCCTAAAGAAAAGATGCAAGATGCAAGACAAACAAATGAGCACCTTAATCTACGTATCCTGACACAAATATCTGCTGAATTTTCGATGCTTTCTTCAACTTTCTCGAGGTCAATCGGAGGAGGATAAAGGAGGCGAACCTTGACGGCGGAGATAGAGCTCTCCCCACAGCTATCACACAGAACTCCATCGAAGTCCAAGGCGTACAAGTCCCCCATTTTCGTCGAGTCTCCTAATCGTCCCTGATCCTAGATTGGTATATAGATATCATTCGCTCCAGTGGTTTAATACTTTGTATTTACCCGCCATCCGTACAGCTCCTTTCTCGCGGCTCTTTTCCAATGAAATCAACCCTCCATTCTTGCTGCTATCCCCAATGAAATCAACCCACGTGTCCACGAAGCTGGTCCGTTTTTCTTTTTCAAAATTTTAGTCTAGACTAATTTTTTTCTGCCTCACATTGAAAATCATAAGTTTACATTTTTTTTTATTTTCTTTAACTCACACCTCATCCCTCTTTGCTCTATTTTATACTCCATATATATATATATATAAATATTCATGAGTTTAAATTATCCCATCCTAACATAATAATCACGTCATAATCAATCATTTGCACTAACTTTGAAACGCATGTTTTCCTTTCAAATTCTCTTAGAAACCTTTTTTACTGTATATGTAAAAAATGATTGAAGGCACGTAAGCATTCACTTGATAGAATTGGACTTTCCAAATAATTTTTTGCATATTTTGAAATATAAAGCCGAAGACATTTTAACTTCTGGAAAAAGAACGAGTAGAGGATAAGAAGAAAATATAAAAAAATTGGATGACAAACATGTGAGAACAAAATCCATAAGGACAAGGAAGGCATCATCTTTCTTCATTGTAGATTATGACCCCACCCCCAAACAAAAAGGGGCACCTCCATATTTAATGCTTTCCTACACTCACAAACAAACCCATCCCAACAAAAAGAAAAAGAGACAGAAAAGAAAAATCTAACAGCAAGGGATTGGGCAGTACTTTTTTTTTGTTTTAAAATTATTTTATCCTTAAACATAACACGTGAAATTTATAATCCTCCAAAACAAGAAAGTTAGATTCTTAAACAAGATGTGTTGAGATTGGATCCATTCATATGCATGGAAATTAAAAGGCTTTATTAGCAGAGGCAAAACCCACATTAATAAACTACTACCTCCGGTCCTTAATATAAGACCCTGTTTGACTTTTATTTTGGTCCTAAATATAAAACCCCAATCCATTTTGTCTTTCATATTTATACTTTTTTTTTTCAAAATAGCCCTTCTAATAATAAGAGTTCTAGTCAACACACTTGATTAATAAGGATATTTTAGGAAAGACAATACTCCTCCGGTCCTAATTATAAGACCCAATTGACTTATTTGAGGAGATTAAGGAAGTAAGTTAAATTGGTTATTTATAATAAATAAGTGTTGTCATTCCTAAAATATCCTTGCTAATTAAGTATATTGGCTAAAACTGTCATTATTAGAAGGATTATCTTGGAAAAAAATGCATAAATATAAGAGACAAAATGGATTGGGGTCTTATAATTAGGACCAAATAAAAAGTCAAATGGGGTCTTATAATAAGGACCCGAGGAGTACCTATTTAGGACAAATAACAAACTCAACTTACTTCCTTAATCTCTTCAAATTAGTCAACTGGCTCTTATAATTAGGACCAGAGGTAATATATGGGAGTGATTAGTCAATAGTCATGGGTTGAATTTTTCTTTAATTTGTTTAAAAAAAGAATGGAATGAGTGATAAGTCTTAAGCCATCCGCTGGATTTTTTATTTAATTCCCTGAAAAAAAAAAAACAAAAACGAAGGAAAGCAAGGAGGGATGCGCGTGCAGCCACGATGCTTGTCACAGCTCAACTCACCATCATCTTTCAAGATTCATTTAAAAGTTACTCTTACGATACTTAATATAATATCTAATTGTTAAGTTAATTTTAGTTATAAATATAAGATATATTTTTTATATTTATTAATTTTTTTAAATTATTTTTTTGGATACTCTCTCAATCATAATCAAGTAGAAGAGGAAGATAAGATATTAAGAAAGATAATCATGATGTTTTAAAAAAAAAATCATATTTCTTATAATTAACTAACTTATCTAACTTTCTTAATTTAATCAAATTAATTAAATAAGTTTTATATTAAAGACTAAAGGAATAACTTACCAGAATCAAGGCTTCATCCTCATCCCCTCTCCTTTTTTGCAAAAAAGAAAAAAAGACTACGATATTTGAAACTTTTTTAAAAAAAAAATTGCAGAATTTTAAATAATTAAATTTTTTTGTATAATGCACAAAACCAGAACAAGTTCTAGAGAAATAAAAAAAACAAAAGCCTAAATTAAAAATGTTTATTTATACAATTTTAAGCTTAATTTTACTTTTTTTTGTTTTATTAAGCATTAAATTAATAGTGTTTATAAGTTGGGCGACAAAAATATTTAATTAATGTCAAATTCAAAATCCTACAATGTCTAGCTACTCCTAAAGTGTTATACAAATTAAACTTTAATATCTTATAACCTTATCTAATATCTAATGCTAGTAACTATATCAAGCATCAGCTCAGGCAAGAAAAAAATAAATAAATAAATTTTCATATCACAAAAAACTTTTCAATTAAAAATGTGAAATGATCTCAAATTTTACATTAATTTCAAATTTTCGAAATTAACATAAATATTAATAGTTATTCTTATCATTATTATTTTCTTCGAGCTGGTGCCTGACGTCCTCTGTGACAGTTATATCCTTACCTCTCCCACCACGCAACACGACATTACCGGTAACCCCACTTTCTTACCGCCCGTCCCGAAATCGCAGCGCCCATCTCCCTTTACACTCTACCTACTACAGCCGGTCACGCCCCCGTTTACCGATACCACCGGTCTCCTATTGCCTTTCCCGATAATCCCGAGTATAAAAACCATTTTCTGAGCTCCGAGTTTCAGTTTTAATCCCATCGGAAATCTGTTCGGACAGTGGTCTCAACGTCGATCTCGTCGGATTCCTGTAAGTATTTCTCTTCCTGTTGCTATGAAATATGTTGTTTTTTTTACGGCCTCTGGGAGGAAAATAATCCGATGGTTGTAACATCTGATCTATCTGATATCTTGTTGGTTCTGGCGTGGTTGCTATCGTCTGATTAATACCGTTTTGGGTCTCCTAGCAGCGATTTTAATCCATTAACATGTCTGTATTTATGTTGTCATGTGCCTGTGCAAGTTTGCTGTTTGTTCAATGGATTGACGACTTGTGAAAGCTTTTGCATACTTGATGAAATTAAGATACTTTTTAAAAGCATATAAGTAAAGAAATAATCGTCAAAGGCTGGATATCATTTATAACAAGAAAACTTGGTTGGTTTTGGTTGTGTTTTTATTTTGCAGCAGAAATTGCAGAGGCGCAACCAATTGTTTCCCAAAAACAAAAAGGCGTTCATCCCGTAAGAAACTTTGAGTGAAGCTGATTACGCATTTAGGATTCTGTTTTGGCCTATAAATATATTATTTTCTTGTGTTTTGGGTTAAATCAATTTCTTCACTCCTTGTGTATGTACATGTTTTGTGTAACCACCTGTATATTTACGTTCATTCCGGATAGAATTGGTATTCTGATATCCTTTTTCTGACAAAGGAAAAAGATGGCAGATAATGAGGATGGAGAGGAGAGGACTTCTCGTGGGAATGAATGGGAGGTTGTGACACTTACAGCATCAGCATATGAAGCTGCTCCTCGTTCTGGACAAGTTGAGTTGAAAGATGATGACAAGGGAGACGCGTCGATGCAGGATGAAGCTGAAACATCACATGCCTTATTCATGTCTCGTCATTTTGTTTTTCCACCCATTGAGCATGAGAACTTGCCATTGGAACCTGATTATAGTGAGATTCTTGGTGAATCAGGAGGCAAAGATATCTCTGAAGTTATTGTTGATGACGGGGCCAGACCTAGTGGAAAGGATGAAGATAGTGTGATGATATCTGAAATGAATGTTTCAGAAGCCTTTTCAGATATTCCTTTTCTTGATGATAAGATGAGCAAATTTTCTGTTCATGGTAAACAGTTTGCAGAAGGTACAACTTTAGAAGATTTAGGTTTGATTGGCAAAGAGGAAAGCATGTATGACACTGCAAAATACAATTCTTTACACAGTGAGACAGATTTTGGTGATGCAACTGCATATGGGGATAATATAGTTGTATCTGAAGCAGTCGAACCTGCTGAACAAGAGTCAAACACTTCTCTTGATTTATCAGATTCAAAGAATTTTCCCAGTGATTATAAGTGCCACCCATCAGATCTTCCTTGTGAAGCTTGGTGGAAGCGAAGAGCTGCTGCCTTATATGCTCATGCGAAGGAGGCAAATGCATACTGGTCTATTTTCATTGCAGCTGCAGTGATGGGCCTTGTAATGCTTGGTCAGCGCTGGCAGCAGGAAAGATCTTATCAACTTCAGTTGCACGGTGGTGTAAATGATGAGGTGTGTCCATTATTATGAAAGTTTTCTCTGAGATATGCACTTTTAAAAATATCGTAGTTAGTTAACGTAATATTTTGCAATTGATCAATGACTCAAGCTACAGTTTCAGCCCCTGTTTCATTTTCATCCATGTCTCTTGAAGACATTGTAGCGACTAATAAATTCTTCATGGGAACTGTGTCTAGGAAAATTTAGTCTAAGAAGTGGGCACTAAGTGAACACTTTGTATTTATTGGGTTTGGTGCATTTTTGTTCCTGCCCTATATGAGCCAAGAGAGCCTGTTCCTACGCTATGGAATTTGCAAACCATTTTAATGAGAACATGGTTTTGGTCCTTTATGACAAACTTGTGCTTTGTCATTTTTAGTATCCTCATTTTGAAAGTCCCGCTGTGACCTACTTCGTACGAGCTGTTTTTGCGTTCCAAAAGTGCAAGTAATTGTCATTTAAACAGAATAGGACTGAATATCTTCACTCTTAAGATAGGAAGGGGATGTAATGAGAGATGTTGCACGTATATATGGCATTTAATTTTATCTTGGTTAAATAAAGCCATGCTTGGTTGGAGAAAAAGCTAGGTGAAAATTGAAGCACTAGATTCTAAATATGCTGTTATTTTCCACCTCCCTTTCTTAATTCACTCGAAGTATTGGCCTAAATGTATGGATTGTGCTCCGCCCAGCCTTAAGTTGCCAATGACAGCTAGAGAGATCGCATTATAGATCAGGTTCCAGGGAGATGTTTGTATATTATTGGTGGCTGTGGTCATGGTGCTGACTGTGTGCTAACGGATATCTTTTATTCGTATGGGAAAGGGAATGGGGCTTGAGATTTTTTTTTTTTGGGGCCCAAAATTGAGGCTTTAAATTGAATGACCATTTGTTGTGTGGTTTTAAATTTTTGATACATTTTTTAAATTGATGCTGCCTTTACATATTCTGAATCTGTATTGTTTTCTCTTAGCTGCCCTGTATTGTCTCGATTACACACTGAAACATTTAACCTCATAAATGCTAATGTTGTCATAGGGAAGAAGCAGGATTCTAGCACCCATAATACGACTCAAAGATGTGATTGTTGGCGGCCATCGTCGTGGTTCCTTGATCAGGGGCTCCTCAGATGGAAGTTAAAGATGATGACGATAAATTGTGTGTTAAGAGTTGGGGAAAGAAATGCCAGCTTTGTAGTGCGATCTTTCTGAATGTTACAGGAATAACATTTTATAACATGAATTCCCCAGCTCCTTTTTTATTGTGTTGTTGTCATGCATTGAGTTGCACTGTATAGCTCTTGGATGTGATTCAACTTGATATTTTATGTAATTCTGATCATGTGGAATTAGCAGTTTAGACTCCAAAGGCGATTAATGAAGTGAAGCGACGTAGTAAATTGCTATGCTGGCGATTTTAGTTCTTGTATGACTCAGAATCATGAAATGCCTACTAAGTCACGCCATTGGAGAAGTGCCTTTTGCTTTGACCCAGGAAAGGGAAAGGAAAAGGAAAATGCAGGAATTGAAAATTGATAGGTTCTTATCATCCATTCTTACTTTCCTGGCTTTGCCATAAAAGCGGGTGATCTTTTTTGGTTTAAAGCAACTGACGTATTATGATATACAAAATGGTTCCTCTTCGTATGTTTCCTCTTTCCCAATTGATGCCAACATTTTTATCTAGTTTCTTATTTTTCATATCGAGAGAATAGTGTTCAAATGGGTTTTAAATAAAGTTAAAGCACATGAGAAATATTTCAAATTGAAGTTTATTAAACCAATTATACCTTTTATTATGACGCCGAAAAATGATCCTTGATTTATAGTTGTTAATTTGGAAATTAATTAGAACTTTTTTTTTTTCATTTCACAGGTTAGACCCTTACCGAAAATCACTTTATGTGAGTCTAGCACAACGGGCACTAAAGTCTAAGACAATGTTTTAAAAGCCGGACCGGAAGTCGAACCGGAAAGATCAACGGGTCATGGTTCAATCGGTCGGATCGGTCAGACCGTTCGGTCGGACCGGTGACGCAATAATTAATTTAAAACTATATTATATACATATAATTAGTATATATGAAAAATATCAAATTATTAAATAATTTAGAAATGCATTTAAATAATCTAAAATTATAATGAAATCATTGAAAATGGACTAAAACCTTATATATTTAAATTTATGTATGTTTAAAATATTTAATGATATTACAAATTATCAATTCATTCAAATCAAAATATTTTTTTAAAAGATAGACCAAATATCGAAACAAAAAGACTAGCGACTCACGATTTTAACATCACAATATATGAAATTTTCAATGAAATAATACTTTATGGTTATAAATAGTCTAAAAATATATTAGGATATTTAAGGGGATCAATTTTTTTTTATTTTTCTTCTATTTTTTTTTAAATTTTTTAGTATTTTTTCAGTCAGGCTAAAAAACCGTCCGGTTTTCTGAAAACCGTTCCGGTTCCCGGTCCAACTCCGATTTCCGGCTTAATAACGGCTCAACTCCGGTCCAATCCGGCTCAACTATGTGAACGGTTTTTTGGTCCAAACCGAGCCGCTAACGAGTCCGAGTGACGGTTCAACCGGTCCGACCGTCCGGTCCGGTCCGGTTCTTTAATTATTGGTCTAAGATCATAAGCGCCTTCTTGCTCCGAACCCGTTATACTGTGACCTGTATAGTTCATTATTTCTTCGTCTTCCGAAAATGGGAGGAAAAAAAAACTCGGTGGCAAAAAAAAAAAAAAAACAAAGAAGGAAAAGCTAACTATAGTTACCCGTAATTTAATGTGGTCTAAATTTTTTTTCGCCATCCAATGTGATTCTAACTTTTTTTCTTTTGCCAACGCCAATGTGATTCGTATTAATAAAAATAATTAAAAAATGAAAGGCACCTTGTCAAAAGCATCGTATAATGAAGATGGGGGAGTAGTAGTGTGTACATTTTGCCGGACGGTGTTAATGTGAAAATTTTCATGGCATTAATGCCCCTGCCTCTTCATCCCCGCGTTGACTTTAGTCTCATTCAGTGTGATATATTCGAGGAGCTTTGACTTTTACTATGCTGAAACGAGAGTAGTGTTTCCAGGCAGTCCCTTTATAGTTGCCTCTTCATTCTTCGTTTTCACAATGGTAAGCATTGAATTAAAATGAAGGATAAACTCTGAAACCTTCCCCGCCTAAATAAAATCCAGGAAACTGGTGTACCGCCTTCAATCTGCAGCTCCTTAAAGTCCAGCCTATTCATGATCCTACCTGCCCACATAATTTTGACCTTTCATGTAATTTTGACTTTGCCATTAATTCAGAGAGGCTGAGGGTCATAATAATTTTACACTATGTTATACATATCTTTAAAGCCATTAATGGTGTGGGAAGGTCAACTCTGAGTGGGAAGAAGAACGCTGTTATTTTATAAGTTTCTTGGGCTTTTTTTTATTGAGATTGCAGGGAGGCGATGCATGTAGGCTGATGCAGAGGCAAGAAGACAGTTCACCCACAAATAAATGCCGCAACAGTTGCTCACCTAAACCCAACCGATTCTCCCTTCTCTCTGCCGATTTAATATTAGCCCCATGCAACATCACACTTTGATACGGAATGCCTTTTTTCTTCGTAATAAATCAAGTCAGAAAGCGAACTTCTTTAGGCCTTATTTATAACTTACACCATCAAATTTCATGGGAGAATTACAATGAGGTCCTAAGTAAAGAAAACAATTAAAAAACAAGTTCTAGAGATTATCATTCTTACCATAAGATTTGTCATTATAGGCTGTTAAGGTTATTATTGAAAACTTTTGATAATTATTTCTCTTCTGTAGAACTTGATTGTAAATCCCTCAATTTTTATATAAACATCTAATTTAATCCTTCATTTATTAATTTTTTAAATTATATATATTAAATAGAAATAAAATTATAAAATTGACGTATCTTATTAACAAGGAGTTAATAAAATTTAAATTTTTTTTTAAATTCTGATGACATATAATAATAGAATCAGGAAAGTACATACAGTATGTCACTCACCAGTCACCACTTCTCAATAAATTATAATGATGCACTTGCACCTCATGAGTCTTGGAAACCAAGAGGTGGGGTTGCTGCCCATAATAACTGCTTGCCACCCAAACTTCTTCCCTATAAATCTCTCATTTTCTCTCAAACACTTCTCATTCTATTGCCACTACCCACCTCTTCCATCTTCACCCATAATTCTCTCTCTCTCCTCTTATTCTTCCCTAATCAATCATTGTCTCTCTCGTTGTACTCACCATTCATCCAACCTGTTCTTACCAAAATCTGGAACAAAGTTAGCTAATTAGCTTGCGTGGCCACATATTGCTATGTTTTCCTCCTAAAATCTGAAATCTGAAGGTGACCTCATTTACCTCAAATCTCTGTTTGTTTCCCGCGGGAAAAAATGGATACGTCCACGGCATTGCTGCTTTTGACGGCGATCACGGCTTACCTCATATGGCTCACATTCATGTCGCGGTCCCTAAGGGGTCCACGTGTATGGCCTCTATTGGGTAGTCTGCCGGGGTTGATTGAGAACTGCGACCGCATGCATGACTGGATCTGTGACAACCTCCGCGCGTGTGGTGGCACGTACCAGACCCGCATCTGCGCGATCCCCTTCCTCGCAAACAAGCAAGGTCTCGTGACTGTCACGTGCGACCCGAAGAACCTGGAGCACATCCTCAAGACCCGATTCGACAATTATCCTAAGGGGCCCACTTGGCATGCTGTTTTTCATGATCTGCTTGGTGATGGTATTTTCAACTCTGATGGCAGCGCTTGGCTGTTCCAGCGTAAGACCGCGGCGCTGGAATTCACCACCAGGACATTGCGCCAAGCCATGTCTCGCTGGGTGAATCGAGCCATCAAGGATCGGCTCTGCTTGATTCTTAAGAAGGCTGAGTTGAAATCCGAGCCGGTTGATTTGCAAGACTTGATGTTGCGGCTCACGTTTGACAACATCTGCGGCTTGGCTTTCGGAAAAGACCCAAAAACTTGCTCGCCGAGCTTGCCGGAGAACCGCTTCTCATTGGCTTTTGACCGAGCCACTGAAGCTTCGCTCCAGCGGTTTATTTTGCCAGAGGTGTTCTGGAGGCTTAAGAAATGGCTTGGCTTCGGAATGGAGGTCGGCCTAAGCCGAAGCCTTGTCCTTATTGAGGAGTATTTATCCAGTGTGATTGACAAGCGCAAGCTCGAGTTGATGAGTCAGCAAAAGGATGAGAACCCGCACGATGATTTGCTGTCGAGGTTCATGAAGAAAAAGGAATCCTACTCAGACAAGTTCCTCCGACACGTGGCGCTGAACTTCATCCTAGCTGGACGTGACACGTCATCGGTTGCACTGAGCTGGTTCTTCTGGTTGGTGATTCAGAACCCTACAGTGGAAGAAAAAATCCTACGAGAAATATGCACCGTTCTGATGAAGACACGTGGTGATGATGTGGCGAGATGGGTGGATGAGCCGTTGGATTTTGATGAAGTGGACCGTTTGGATTATCTCAAAGCAGCATTGTGCGAGACTCTACGCCTCTATCCGTCAGTGCCGGAGGATTCAAAGTACGTGGTGGCGGACGACACGCTGCCGGATGGCACATTTGTTCCGGCGGGATCGTCGGTGACGTATTCAATATATGCTGCCGGCAGGATGAGGTCGACATGGGGTGATGATTGCTTGGAATTTCGGCCGGACAGGTGGTTTTCATCAGACGCCAACAAGTTCAGAATGCATGATTCCTTCAAGTTTGTTGCCTTCAATGCGGGTCCGAGAATATGCTTGGGCAAGGATTTAGCTTACCTACAAATGAAGTCAATTGCGGCGGCGGTGCTACTCCGGCACCGGCTGGCCGTGGTGCCAGGGCATGAGGTGGAGCAAAAGATGTCATTGACTTTGTTCATGAAGAATGGACTCAGGGTCTATGTGCAGAACAGGGATCTGAGGGGAGTTTTGGCAAGTATCGGTGAACAAAAGGGACCCACAGAAAACTGGTATTAGGTAATTGGCTAGCCAAGTAAAACATAAATAGACGCCTAAGCATATCAAGAGTATATAAATCCAAAGACCTGGTCTTTAGCTGCGGGATGAGTACAGTGTGTGTGTGGACGTTAATGATGATGGGTATTAATTAAGTGCTATGACCAAGAGGAAGAGTTGAGGCCTTTTGACCTTTCAGAGCATATGCGAGTTCATTCACACATGTGAACAGTTCAGATATTAAGGCATAAACTGCATGTTGTAGAAATTAATGTATGAGAAATTGTGGGTAAGTGCTCGTTGAAATTAAAGCTAACAGTTATTTGTTTGTATTATAGGTTTATTGTTAATTAAGATGTTCCAACTGGTTTTGACATCCAAACACGCAATATTAACTGGTTGTGTTTTGGGACGATAAGTTTATCGTCAAATTAAAATAATTTTTTTTTTCAAATGAATTGAAACCAAATATTCAAGTAGAGCATCTTCCGACTTCCGCTTACTCCAGCCAAGCTAGCTATTGGAATGACACTGGACGGCAACTTGTGGCGAAGGGGCAAGCACTGGCTCTTCCAGGGTAATGGTAGATACTTCATGTCTATTAGTGTACTGACGAAATAATAGAGCAGGGTACTCTCCCTCCCTCCCTCCCTCTCTATCTGAGGAACATAAGAAGAAACTGATGCCTTCTCTGGCTGTTAATAGTAACAAATCACCACAGGCTTTCATTCTTGTATGTTAGTATCAGCAAGCATTTTTTTATGATCGCTTTTTTTCATGCCCGCTGCTGAATCAAAGCTCTTACGTACAGCCGGCAAGCATGTATGAATGATGATTAACAACATGAGAGACTCGACCCAATTATGAATTCAGTTTCTAATCAAACAATTCATTTCGCTCCCACTACTTGCAGCAGGGCCTTGCATGTGTTGCCCCACAGTTCACCAACTGGTTTTGGGTGCATTGCCATCTAGCTGCATTTTTCTTTTCTTTTCCTTTTTCAATTTTTATCCCTCGTACAACATGGGGATTATATTTGTTTGGAAAGATTAGTTAATTGGTGCTCTAACTTTTGACTTAATTGTAACTCAGTTCTTCAAGTTTAACTCGTCGCAACTCAGTCCCTAAAGTTTATTATGTTTAACAATTGCACGTTATCAAACTGAACGCTGTTAACAAAGTTAACAGAGTTAGTCCCCTCCTCTTCCTCCTGATCATTTTTGTTTTCCCCTCATCAGCTCCTTCATTTTTCTGGGGAAATCATTCTCAGAACCGGGATCCATCCTTCAAAGTCTTCAAGCCAACTATGGCCCTATGATCGATCTTTTTTCCCTTGGTTCTCATTCTGCTATATGTTTTGAATATGGTCTAATTTTAGTAATATTGCCTTGGCCAAAGAAAGTCTCACGCCATTTTTAGGATTTGATTATTGATTATCACTGGTTGGAGACACTGAACTTTCTTCTTCACCTTCAGAAGCACCAAGAGGGTCACCTAGAAAGGAGCTTGCAATTGGTGTCACCAATTCTATCTCCAGCTTCATTACTATGGTTGACATTGGTGCCGACACCATCTCTATCCCCAAGCCGCGAGGTCAGCTCACAGGCAGAGGCAACAATAAGAAATTAAATTAAATTAAAGAATATCTATCAATTAATTAATTCAAAGTTCAAATCCAACTACTAGCTTGCACCATTCGTTCACTTTTTCTTATGTTAATACATATTGGCTGCACATATTTTCCCTTTTTGCCCTGTTTTGAATGAAAGTCTGTATGGCAATAGAACGATCAGTTATAAACATAGCAGGATGAGAACCAACAAGGAGAGTGATCGATCATGGGGCCATACTTGGCTTGAAGACTTCGAAGGATGGGTCCCAATTCTGAGAATGATTTCTCCAGAAAACTGAGGAAGCCGATGAGGGGAAGATGGAAATGATCAGGAGAAAGAGGAGGGGACTAACTCTGTTAACTTTGTTAACAACGTTCTGTTTGATAAATAACGGCAATGGTGCAATTGTTAAACATAATAAATTTTAGGGACCGAGTTGCGAAGAGTTAAACTTGAATGACTGAGTTACAGTTGAGTCAAAAGTTGAAGGACCAATCAACTAATTTTTCCATTTTTGTTTTATTTGGCCATATGAGGAAAATACGAAAAGCCACACACAAAAAATAACAGTAAATATAACATCATTGATTTTTTAAATTAAAATGTGATTAAAAAAAGGTACTTCTCTGGTCCTTAATGTAAAATGTAATTAACTAATCTGAAAAGATTAAAAATGTTAGTTAAATTAGTTAATATCATATGTTTTTTCTAAAACAGCTTAAATGTCTTTTTTAATTCTCTCCTTCCTTTCCTACTTGATTATTATTGGAGAATATTACTAGGGTTAATTTTTTAAAAAATTGATGAATATATAGCATGAATCTTATATATATAACTAATATCAATTTCTCAGGATCTTGTTATAACATTATACACATTGACTACAATTTTTTTTTCTTTTTGTTTTTTAATGGGGCGCCCTCGAACTGGAAGACGCAACTCGGGATAAACAGCACTGTCGTAGTTTGTGAATCTCTCATTCTGTTGAAGTAGCCATCAGAAGGTCAATATCATATATTTGTAACCCGCAACATACTCTGTTAGGTCTGCATACTTGCCCTTTTTCCCCAGTATATGCTATATATAGTCAATTAGTACTCTTCCGGTCTTAAATATAAGGTTCTTATATTTAGAACCGGAGGAGTATGATTATAATAAATCACTTGTCCATATGTATATATGATAGGGTTCATCTAAAATCTTATTCTTAAAAATACTAAAGAACTAGGCCGGCCGGCCACAGCTAATAAACTACAAACCAAATAGCCCCGTTCGTCACTGAATATTAGAGCACATGACCAGTGACAAATTAAAGCAACGCATCAAATCAATGATAAATCGATAATCCACCGATTTTTTTTTTTTGAAAAAAAAAACCTACCAGGTTTAGAAATACATTCGGAACACTTCAATCAATATAGCGAGTAGTAAGTGGCAGCTAAAACTCTTTAAAAATAAGGAGGGGGGAAAAAAACAAAAGAAGGTAAAAACACCTACACGAGTGTTCAGCAACAACGTACAGGACCAATTGACTCCATTCTTTATGAATCTGAAATAAGCACAGTAGCTTTATTAGATTCGAACGGCATGTCACTTCTTGGTGTTGTGCATGGACTCCACCTTGCCATCATTCCCTCCAAGCAGCAAGTACTTATCCTTCCTGGTTAAGCCAGTGCACTCAAACCCCAGCACATCACCCAGCACCTTCTGCACGTGATTCGCCACCTCAATCGACGACTTCCCTCCGGCCTTACACGACATCTCCTGCGGCAGCCGATCAAGGAACGTCACCTCATAGACGGGCCTTGGGTTCATGAAGAAGAAGTAGGGGTCCCAGAACTTGACCCCACGCACAGTGGTCCCGTAGAACATGCTCTGCTTGCAATTTACTGCCACCGGCACGATCCTGTCGCTCATCTCTGCAAACAACGCAGAGAAACGCAGCAAGAAAGGCTCGCGGCACGTGGTCCCCTCCGGGCACACCACCAGGTCACCTTTCTGGAGGAGCTCGGCGATGCGTGCAGCGTCGGCCGCGCGATCTCGGGTCAGAGCGATGGCTGGGATTGGAGAGAGGAACCTTGAGAGCTTACTTACGCTGTAGGTGACGCAGGAAACTTTGCGTCCGAGGGCAATGGCAATGACGATGGGGTCGAGGGCGGTGCGATGGTTGCAGACGTAGAGGTTGCCGGGAGTGCCTGGGGACGGTGGAGGAGGGCGGTTGCCACGGATGACGAGCCTGATGCCGAGGAGTTCGTAGGTGTAACGAACGATGCGTTCCGGGAGAGGGAGGTTGAAGTAGACGCGGATGAGGGACAGTATGAAGCCAAATGGGAGCCATAGGTAGGTGAAGATGGCGTTAAGTGGCGTTGGGCGCTTCACTAAGCGACCGTCGTGGAAGATGAGGCGACTTTTGAGACTTTCCAATGGCACTGCTTTGGCAGTTTTGCTAGGGTGCACCATGTAGCCCTCCTGTATTAATTGGCCATGTCATGACGGATTAGTTAGATCTACACCTAAGTCGATCTCTAAACATAAAACAAAACTTAATTTCAATAAAAAGAATGAAAGAAAGAAATATACCACTCTGGATAATTATCCCTTGTGGGGAAAAAAAAACTTTTTATGACAAATCAAATTTGGACATACATTGCTGTCAACCCCAGAAAATATGCAGCAGTCAAATAAAAATTTATATATCATCAGATATACCGATAAACAGAACAAAATTGAGATTACGTGGCGAATTATGAAGAAAAATACACGTCAAGGTTGATTGTGTAAGTTCTAATTGAGCGAAATGAGTCTTGAGATGAAATAAATAGTGGAAGGTAATAATATATCGTGATCAAGGGTGCATCAAATATATCCTATAAAGGGGGAAAAAAGGAAGATGATTACAAAGCGTGTCTTGCTTTTGCACTCTTGATTTAGAACTTGTATTGGAAAGGTAGGGTACTTGAACATTGAGCACGCAATATCCGCAGCGATGGCCGAGGGGAAGGTTACCAACCCATGACTACATTAATTAGGACGCTTTTATTTATGAATGGACCACTAAATGTCTAAGCTGGCAGTTAGTTGGGGATGGTTAAGACGCTGGGTCCTGCTGGGCTCAGATGGCGCTACAAATCTTCCACAGAGAGAATGAAAAGTAACTAATGGTATACACTTATCCTTACAGCTTCACCCCTAGCTAGCTCATTTCTGATGAATGCGATGCTTATACGGTTCACCGTTCTACCCATATGCAAAGTGTGAATATACTTGACAAAGCAGTCTTCATTCTATTATTGCTGGAGACAATGACCCAAAAGAGAAAGACTATGCATCGAATTTATCTTTTTACATTTTCTTTCCAACAGAGAAAGATGTCATACTCATAAAATATTGATGGTGTGTGTTGATGCTCTAATTAGAGCTTTTATTCAATATCTTCAGATTTACATAGCTCTGAAATTTATAA